TGTTGGAAAGAGACAGTGCGTCAAAGAAAAAGGATATCAAAGAAAGGACAAAAAAAATTGTTGTAAAAAAGTCTGGTTAAAAATTATTCGTTGTTTCTATTTATACCCCGTTTCACGTTAAGACGGATCGATAGCGATGGCTCGTAGCATCCGCTGCTATCCGTCCAAAGGTCAACCGGGGTCTACAAGCCCCGGAAAAGAGAGAATAGAATGCGTTGGAAAGGGGACAAAAACAAATGTAGGGGAGAATAAAAGAGAGTGAGAGAGACTGGTTGGAAGACAGAACGGGAAAAGAACGGGCCGTGATGTCCGAGAGGTGGAATTCGGACGAACGCCACGCAATACGGGCCGATGGTTTTCTGTTCATCGAGAGGCTGGCCAATACGTCAAGCTGGACACGGAGGGGGGAGTGGGGTAGATTGAAAACGCGCACGGAGGCCGACGGGGTTGCGGTGAAGTCGATCGTGGCGAAGATGGAGTCGATTCGTTTTGATTCGCTCGTCTGCTCCCGTCCGATCTGCCTTCCGAGTGTCTTCGTGAGACGTTTCGTGGATCGAGCTTCGTTGGCTTCCTGGGTCGCTTTTTCGCGTCTTTTCTCTTGTGTGTGCGTGGGTGTGTGTGTGTGTGCGAGTGCGCGTGCCTGTGCGTGTGTGCATGTGTGTGTCTGGGGGGGAGGGGGGAAGCCATTTCTGTTCATGTGGCTCTCGTTGTAGGTAGCTTTTTATCTGCACTCATGTTCCCGGAACTCAGAAGGTGTCTCAAATATCCTTCTTCATTTTTTGCGAATGGGGGGCACTCTCAGAGCGAGTTAGCGGCGCCATGGAAGCTTCCTTTGCGCTATGAAAGCTAGAAAATGACGCGAAATTTTGTTTTAAATATTTCCAAGGTTGTTATTTTATTTGAATTTTTTCATTAAACTGCGGAAATCACGTTTTTAGTGCCAATACGATCGTAAGACAAAGTGCCATACAATTGACCCCGTAAGTGACTACGTCACAACATGGCGTCTGGGTTCAAACAAACCGTTGCTAGGGACGTTGCTATGGACTTATGCGTGGAGACTCCACATGAAGCTAGATTTTTGCTTACAATTGAATGCATTTTTTTTTCGTAAGCAACCTAACTTCTTGATATCTAATTATGAAGATGTTCTTGCCGTCACAGTGGGGAATTGCAATGATGAAAGCCATTTCTGAAGTATTACAATCCGTTTTGTTTTGGCAGCAGACGACTCGATAGATTTGCTGGCCTCTGTTGCAGCGGGCGTCATCATTGAATTGCGTCGGTAAACGAGCGACAAAAACAAGTGCATCGGCATGGCCGTAGAGGCCTCCGCAATAAGCGGTCTTTTTCTGTGAAGAACCCAGCGTAGTTCAGAGTAATGAAAATGCCGTAAAATCAAACCACGTCATGCAGATCAGTTATGACGACGACCTGAGGTGCTTTACCGGCGTAGTGCAGGCCAGCATGAGAAACAAATCGTACGCCGTCGAAGTAAGTCGTTTAATATTATTATTATTGAGGCTTGTACTAAATACTAAATTAAAATCTAGTCCGAACAGGAGAACACATGAAGAGCACAATGAAAAATATCATTAAACGTGATGAACATATGAGCATAAACAAAATAACCGGATAACGCATGGACACAGGCATACTTCTCAACGCTGTTTTACCATAGCCGTGTAAGACTACTGGAAGTTTGAGCTGGATTTCACTCTCACTACAACTTGCATGCAACTACTTTATCAATATTATAGTAATAATATATTAATATAGGGAGTATTCACTGGACTCCATATTTGTGGGTGCTGTTTAGAGCGCATGCTCAGAACGAGTTCACTCAATAGGCTGCTAAGACCGGCACTTTTGATGGTGCGGAATGCACGTGGCGAAACAACTGTGGAAGCTCGCCATCAGCGCGCGCTCAGCATTCGCGCACACAGCTATGGCCGCCAGTGAATACTCCCTATTAGCAAAGTGGAAAGTTGAGCCAGTTGGTTCATGGTTCTTTCAATAATTAAAAGCGCCGAAAAAGACAAGGACAAAGAAGTGGAACGACACAAGGCGCACTCGCAACTGTTGTTTATTTCGAAAAGTACATGCATTTATAGGCCCCAGAACCCTGTCAGTCATCAGCGTGTCTTTCGCAACGCTTCTTTTAAATAATTAAACTCACTCTTTGAGTGAGTGAGTTTGATTATTTGAAAGAAGCGTTGCGAGGGACACGCTGATGACTGACAGGGTTCTGGGGCCTGTAAATGCATGTACTTTTCGAAATAAACAACAGTTGCGAGTGCGCCTTGTGTCGTTCCACTTCTTTGTCCTTGTCTTTTTCGGCGCTTTTAATTATATAAAATCCCTATTAGCGCCGAGATGTTTCGGTGGCGCCCTCTTATGGTTTTCCTCCGTGACGTTGCGACTAAAATTTACCTCGCCGTGACGTTACCAGTTGTTATTCTGGCTACTTACTATCGGGTGCGACGACGAGTTCGATGGTGTGTTCAAAAAGCGCAGTAGAAGCTAGGAGCCATCGCAATCCGAAACTAACACCGTCAAAGTTGACAATCTGACAGTGCTCATATGCCCATGATTTGGCCAATCGTGGAAAGCTGACCGCAGCGACGCTTTTGACCGCGCACATAGCGCCGTATTTTAAGACGTTTTTACCGAACATAATGTGGGTTTTACGTGCTCTCGGTTGGTTTTGCCCTTTTTTATATCAATGCAACTGCCCGCCAGTGCTACATGTACTCACCTTATGTTTTCTATGCAGTTCTTTCGCGCTTTGGGGTCTTGCGGAAATCTTTCTTCACGCGATGGTAATGACCAAGTACGAAGCAACCTCCCCTAGCGCGACTCCGCAAACAAAATTTGAGATCTCAACCGATCGTCTGAAGTGCTTTTCTCACGAGTGCAATGGAATATTTTAGCAGACGATCACCTCGATCGACGCCCGGACTTTCGATAAACCATATTTTGCATCGCACCCCACTACGAATACTTTTAGGTGTCTGAAACTCATTATATTTCCATCGAATTCAATATCAAAATATTGTCTTGATTCACACGATTCAAACGACGGCGCCGGCTTCGCCGCCGGCGTGTTGCAGATGGCATACTTCTTGCATTCATCGTCTGCTGCAGGCACCTTGAGGGCAGGAAGTTGCAGTCGTAAATATTTGAGAAACAAGCGATTACCGGCACACTTCTGTCGAAACATATATGACATTCGAGCTTTCTATATATGTCATATTTTAAAGTTTAAATTCTACTCATGGTCTTTGAACGGTCAGGTTTTAGTAGCGAAACCTAGCCACATGTATTTGTCCATAACAGCCACCGTAGCAACGGTTTGTTTGGACCCGTGACGTTACACTTACGCAGTCAATAACGCTTTTAATAGGCGAGCGGCTTTTGCCAACTTCCGGTCCGTTAGACATTTTGGCTTTGGGGATAGTAGATGACGGTGATGAGATGGATGTGCGAGCATGGCACAAGTTTGATAATTCTCCGATCCTACTTTGCTCAAAAGCATGCCCAGCAAAAAGAAAATCCGGAAGTTCGAAAAGACACCGGATTGGCCACAGGCCGCTCACTCATTGACGAATCACGTAAATTTTGTCTCCTGGAGATAGATTCCACGCAAAGTTTGTGTACGCTGCGCACCGTCTTCAATTAGGCACAGCCTTTGAACCACTCGAAAGATAATGTTTTACAAACGTATAGGGGTTCTTTGATTTCCGCACAGTCATACTCGTTCTAAAGCTTGAGTTATCATCAGGCACGTAGCCAGGATTTTGTTTCGGGGGGGGGGGGGGGGGGGGGGGCGATATGGAATGATAACCAGGCGCGTAGCCGGGGGAGGGGGGGGCGCCCATAACAAAATGCTGTATGAGGAGGAGGGGGGAGGTCCCAGCAAAACGGAGATTTCGGGGGGAGGGACCCGGGCCCCATAAGCGCCCCCCCCCCCCCCCCCCCCCGGCTACTTGCCTGGTTATCATTCCATACTTCGTTTCGCCCTAAGCTCATAAGCACCCGACGTAGAAGCTGATGGGACATATCAGGCAGCGTTAAAAGCACACCGTAATGGTATTCATCCTGTTTTTGTGCGCGTTCTTTCATCCCTGAACCAATCATAAACAGGAAAGGCCCAGTAACTAACTCTTATGAAGCTGGTTGAATGATCGAATCAGCTCGTAGCGCCTGCTGCCTCTGGACCTAAGCTGAAACGAAGTGCAGTCCTAGTCGCTCAAGATCGCAGCTACAAATGAAATCGAAGGTGGGAGCTACAAATCTATAGGCATGTTTGTCTCGGATAGGGGGCGCTCGCCCATAACACTAAAGTTCCTGGATAAGAGCCTCCTACAAGTAGCGACATTCTTTGAAGCGCCAATTGCTATATGGTGCATGTTTTAGGAAGTGAATGGGCGGCGCGCAATGGGAGACTGAACTGAATGACGCCTTTTTTGTGCTAACATAATGTGTTTGCCATGAGAATCGGTTGTCGTTACAGGTAAAATGAAGTATCGAGGGGCTTCGCACGGTACAATCCAAGCTTGGGCAGAGTTAGTTTCGGTGTCATCACAGTGAGACCGAGCGCAGAAACAGACTGTAGGCAAGTACTGCGAGAGCGTTCGACTGTTCAGTCCTTTTCAGTTATTGCGTTCAAGGACGCTCGGCAGCGAACCCCAATGTAGAGTTGTCGTCATCCGAGTCCCGAGACCGTGACCACGGGGCGCGCGCTTCAAGGCACGCTTCAAAGGCTCCGGTAGTGCGGTATACGCGGAACCCGGTAACGGTTTGCTAAAGGTCCCTACTGAGCGTGTGGCTACCGGTTCGAGGACAAAGCCCGGCACACGACATTGGAGACACGGATGTTGAGGTGACTCGCGCGTAACGGTGCTGCGTGCGAACCAGCCTTTAGTTTGAAACGTACAGTATAGGCGGTGTTAACTTTGGTGAAAGCTGTAGTGACGCCATCCTTTATGCTCTTGCAGATCTGCCAGCCGCCTGTGGAACGCGGCGTCCCTCATGGGTTCCGGCTCTAGTCCTGCCAACGCCAGGTGAGTCCGACGCTTCCCTCGTTTCTCATTGATTCCCGACTGTTCACAGAGTGTGACGTCACGCGCTCTTTATTTTGAACTGCTTGCACGGGAGTGCGCACCCACTTTCCCAGTACCTATTCACCCTGGCGAGACATGCTGAGTCACTGGCCTGTGAAATCACGCGCGGGGTCTCATTTGGTGCAGAAGAGAGATAACGGTTGCTCCCAAAGTAGAGTAGTAAACTAATAGAGTAGTAAGTACACCAGCAGCAATGTACTCGAAGCATTGTCGAAGGTAGGAAGCTCGTGCTGGAAGTGGCACAACTGATGCCGCTCTTACATTGTCCGCCGTTTCGCCGTTCTTACCTTGTCAGTTACTGTGTAGTAGACATTCGGGGTAGCTTAAAAACAAAAGTACGGTAGTTTTATTTCATCTTGTGACTTGCAAAGAGAAAGCAAAGAGCCATCAACTGACATCAAAACGTATATCTCGCGTCGCTTTGCAACGAGGCGTTCATCCGCGACGTTGGCTTGGTCGTGGCGCAAAAGCGCCTTACTAAAAACAGGTATAACGAGCCAAGCCAAGCCGTGCGGTGGATTTAATTAAAAGAAACCCGTACGAGAGACAGCGGTTTTATGCAGCTGTATGAGCCAAGCATCAAAACGCGGCACGCACACACGAAGACGAATACACGCGCTGAATGAACAGTTATACGAGATAGAAAATAAAACTATATATATATGAGATAGGGACGATTTCCCGCGACTACGCCCTTCGAGGATCGCATGGCGGGACGCCCCGACCGACGCCAGCCAGCAAGCCACCACCAGAACCGACATGTATCCCCCCGGATCACGTGATCCGGGACAGTTGGGGCAGATGCTCTCTCGCCAGCAGACACGGGACACCATCACCGGGCGTATAAACGGCCTCTTTGGTTGTCCGCGCCCGATCGCCGACGCCGTCGCCGACATCGTCGTACATTACGCATTATGCAATATGCACCACCCATCCCCCTCCCCCCTCCTCCTTCCTCCCGACGTGTCCCCATAACCGCAAACTCCGTAACCGACCCCCCCGTCCTCCCTCAGGCCAAGAAGACGATCCGGCGTTGTATCGTCGGGATGAAACTGGGTACGGCAACATGGATTCTATACCGCGGGATTCGGCCGCCATATTTTTTCCCCTTTTGATGCCTCTCTTTCTATTCATGTATATAGATACGTTTGCTATGTGCTTTGTATGTGCGTGCTCCAAGCGTCTACCGTACTATAGCTTGCTTTTCCTTTTCTTTTTTATCGGTCTGCCGCGTTATTATTATCATTCTGATGAGGTGGGTTCACGCAACCCGTGATTCAGAGCTCTGCGCTCTGTCGATTATGGAAAAGTCCAGGTGCATTTGGAGTTGCCCCTCTTGGATTGGTCTGTTGGAGGGGACCAATCGGGATCCGCGCGCGCCGTGTGGTTTGTTTGAGACCGAGGTTTTTGCTTGCGATCGTCCCGTCTACTGATGTGTGTGAAGTTTTGAATGTGTGCGTATGTTTGTATACGTCAGTGTGAGTGCAAGTAGCTGTGTGCGCGCATGTATGCATCTGTGCATGTTTGTGTCTGTTGTGTGGGCAGGCTTGCATGGGGATTTGTACCCTCCCCTCCAAGTGCATGTTTGCATGAGCTTTCGCGTAATTATATAAAGATAGTGATATCTTAGTTCTCTTCTTGCACTGATGTATTCGTGGCTTAATAGACAATACACCCGGGCCTTCGGGTCTGTTTTATGATCTCTCAACCACGTTGGTTCCTTCCCCTGTTCGTTTAATTTGAGAAACAGATTCTCTTTTCTCATTCGTAGAATACTTTTATATCAGAATGCAGGAGGCGAAGTGCGGTAGAATCTAGCCGCACTTTTTCCTACGCTCACCTGGGTAAGCTGCTAGTGGTCCGAGCTCAGACCAAGCATTAAATGAACATTTTCTTTTTCTGGTTTTAGTCTTGCATGCTGGCATTTGTGCTGGTTTCAAGCACCCAGCGAGACGCTATGACTTTGAGAAAAAACATTAAGATTTTAGGGGGCTGTGACGTTTCGCTGTTGACCTCCCTTCTTTGAAATTCATTTCCTCTTCCTCTCTGTTCACAGACAGTCAATTTCCGTTCTTGAAGAAGACCTGCTATTCTTTCCAAAACACTTTTGCCCTTTCCCGCTGTTTCTCTCTATCGCTTCCACTACTGCTCAGGAAAAAGGGTATAATACTTCTAAAGTAACTGGCAGTTAGTTAAAAAATTGGAAGGGGTGCCGATCCCGTGTATCTCATTATCGCCCACAAGCCAATGAGGTTCCGGCATTCTCCGATAAGAACGTCGAAAAACAAACCCCACTGGAACTATTGAACAAAGGTTGTTGCCCTTATTATAAAGATATCTTTAAGAACGCATAAAAATGGGATATATTTGCAGCTAATTCCTTTCGATCGATCTATATGACGCACGAACCACACGAACCACACGAACTTCGAGAGTTCCGCATTTTTCCGGTGCAGCCAAAGCAATATGTTAGCCTCGCTCCACGATAGTGTATGCAGATTACAGTACTCGGGTTTACACATGTTACGTCACAAGCGTCCGGAGTGTGCCTCTTTAATAGTCACAGACCGAAAGACGCAGTCTTGAAACGGGTGAGAAAGTTTACGCACGTAGTTGTCCCTACAACAGAGAGCCTTTTTTTCTCTTTCCGCCCCCGCAACTTTCTGCGCCTCCACTTAACACTGCTTTCTTTTTCTGTGTGTCTCATCTTCGCAACCTCTGCAGCCCATGAGACGTATCCGAGACGCGAGAAATTCTCACGAAGCGCACAGATGGAGGCAACATTGAGCCGGCCGAATAGCCTGCCTGCTCTTGCAGTCGCTCAAAGCGCTTTTAATTGTTTGCGCGCTTTTTGGTTTCCTCACCCGTGAACCGCTCCGTTTTCTCGAGAAGGAACGTGCACATCCGTACGGATACAACGGCCCGGCTAGCCGCCATGTCTGATTTACACCGATGAGCTCGAGTGCGGCTGTTACGCAGAACTCGAAGAGAAGGTGGGGGCCGACGCTGAGAACTTGTGTCGGTTTTGTATTTTGCTTAGTTTCTCTCACGTTTTGTTCTTTCGTCCGCCGTGTTTATTGCGTTAATCTGTCCGCGCCGCTCGAGGCTCTTCTCTTTTGTTTCAAACGCCGCTGAGAGAGGGGAAGGAAAGAGGTAAGAGGGGAAGGTTTCTGTAAATGGGAGAGGAGGCGCTAAAAAGGGCAAGCGGGAAGGGGTTCTCCGGTGTGTAGCGTGATGCAAAGCGTGAGCATGCGCATGACGGAGCATGACTTTCTCCACGCATGCCCGCGCAGATGCGCATGCGACTGACACCACGTGGCCGTAAATCAGGCCGCTTAGCCCCCCCTGATCTGATTCATGCGCGGTTTAGAGGAAGCGTTATTCAGAAATTGCGTTTTTCTTGTCTCGCCGTTTTTGTTCATTCTTTCTTCTTCGTACATTCCTTTCGTTTATCTCAAAACTTTCTTTGAATTCGCACTTATTTTTTTCGCACTCCGAATTGCGTGCGGATGATGCCCGTAACTCTGGTCGCCTTTTAATTGTTTTAGAGTAGAAACGATTCGGTGGAAAGAACCATTTCCGTCAGGGGACTACGGGCCTCTCGCTCGCCGCACCTGTCGCGACCACCTATGCTGCGTCTAGCGAAGTTGTGTGCGAGGCTAACCGAATCACGGCCCCGACAGCGTAGCTCTAAAGGAGCGTTTTTTTTTCGCAGGAGCACTCGCGCATGAAAGGCACTTGGAGTATGGAAAGCTATACGCGTTCGGGCCCCCTGCCTTTTCCAGTGCCGTACAAAACTCGTGAAATAAATTATGCAGCTATAGCAAACTGTTCGCTTACTTCGGTATGCGTTGCAATTCTTCCTGCTTATGCTGCCGTCAGAGTCCTTAGCCGCTCAGATGGCGGTATTCGCTGTTCATCCATTCGTTCGTCGTCATTCGTCGTTCATCGTCATTTTTATTGGCTAATCTCGCAGGCTCATTGGTCGCGGGCGATAATAATATACTCGGCATTCCCCACACCCTATGCGTTGCTGAAGTTGACACTGACCGTAGCTGCTTTCTAAGCCAATCTGCAGACAAAGAACATACGCCGACCCGGAGGGCTGGGTGATATCCTCTTGTTTCTGCTCCTTTCTCACTCTCTCTCTTTTCCCATTTCTCGGTCGTTGATTTCTTACGCTCTCATATATTTCATCGTGAGGTCGTAGTCTCCGCGCAACCATCTGCCGGTGAAACCTTTAAAGCTTCCTGTAACCTTGCCGCGCCATGGATCACGTTGAATTTATACGCCTGCCATGTTCTCGGCGTTCCGGTTGTTCTTCCCTTAATTTATGTTTCTATAATCATTCGCTCGAGCGCCTTGAATGCATGGTTTCGTTAGAAGAGATATACTGCTCATTGGAGTACTTCCATTTTGCTTAACAAAAACTGTAGATGTTCGCGCAGCCGTGGACGCGGAGACACATACACGCGCACGCACACACTTCGACACACTCCCTCAACAAAGATAAACCGAATCGCCCGAAATACACAAATAGACGCGATATTCGTTAGAAATATTTCTACGTATAAAAATACTGATCTACAAATGCGGAACCCTAATTCGTCAAGAACCTGGGGTTGTCCCTGATTTGTCACCGTTCACAACAATAATAATTGGGGTTGTGGCGAAATTTAGACAGCGTGTAGTTGGTCAGCCATTTCGAAGTTGCGTCGAGTCACTCGCTGTAAATGATAAATTTAGCCAGTGCAGTACAACCGCTAACCTAGGGTCTTTAACGTGCACCACGCAGTAGTGATACACAACCGCACGCCGGTACGATGGTCATCCAGATGGGGATTGAACCCAGGATCCCTGGGTTCTGCTGCGAGAGCTTTCGCTCCACGTGCTCCGAGCTGGTGTGTCGCCGTTCACACCGCGGTGGATGTCGTGCTGTTGGAGATGGTTGAGCGAGAGATCGCGCTGCAGAAGCCGTAGATCCCAGGTTTCAATT